TTAATTTGCATAATTAATGAGAAAATGTTATAATTCCATAATGGTTACTGCCTGGAATTTCATATACTTGGGGTATTTAAAAGTTAAGTGAAGCTGAACATCATTAAACATAACTTATTCAAATAAGGACCTCATTTGCATAATTTATGAGGAAATGATAGAATGGCTTTCTTTGTTAAGATAAGGCTGTCTTTAGGTGGACAATATGATCAACTGATGTAATTCATGCAAATGAGGATGCTATTTGCATAATAAGGAAGAATCATCTTTGTCAGTCATAAAGATTAACATCATTTGGCGAAGGTATGAGATCGTGGGACTCTAGTTTTGTGTATGTGCTGCATGCATGTATTTAGGACACCCTTTAAATGATTACAAGGGATACACTCTTCTTTTGCTAGTCAATACATGATATCATCACTTGCCTTATTTGATTTTCTTTTGATATAGGCGTGATTCAATAATTTCAATGATATTGTGTCATATTTTGCAGGGTTACATGAGGGAGGCGAAGTGTCTGTTGATGTTAGGAGACCCCAGCCAGGCTATCAGTACGTACCAGAAGGTACTACAACTGGACCCTAACAACCAGTCTGTGGCTGACGAGGTATGGAACAACCTGTACATACAACCATACATTCAAGACACTGAGAGAAACATTAAAGGATTGTATGCATTTGTCTGGTATAATCATGCTGTCAGGGCTGGAAATACCACCAGGTCCTGCATATGCAGGTAAAATTGGAGCTGTGCAGGTATTTCTGATGTCTACCTGTACCTAACCTGCACTGGTTACCACCTACCATGTATGAAGTACCCCTAAAAAAAGAAATAATGGCAATAGTTTTTTTCTGAACAGTTTTCAGAATTGTTCGTATTTCCTAAATTCTGAGTGCTGCTGACTTCAATTTGGAAACATTTTCGAGCCCTGAATGTGTAATGTCCTGGCCATCTTATAGATCTTGTTATACATTCATCTAAAGGAATAATGTATTAAAAGCGATTTCTGTGTGAAGAATTTTGATATATGTATGTATGTATGTACTTACAAAGCAGTATGTTAATGGTTGTCAGAAGTTGACCTTTGATATAAATGGCAAAGTGTCATTTGAAATAAGCATCAAAGTTTTGCAATTAATTAATTTCACATGTCTTAAACATCTAAAGCTCTGTTGTTAGAATACAAAATATAAACAATTGGATACAATGTTTGACAAGCATGTAATTTTGTTTGGAAGAAGACAAGAACCTTTGACAAGTCCCTTACACCTTGAAGCTTCAGTGTGCAGAGGCACAATAGGTTAAGGGTTGGATACACTTTGCCTTAAGGGGACATTTAAGTAACACAATGTGTGCTGTTCTTCCAGTTAAAGGTGGCTCAGTCAGTCCACCATTTTGAGACCCAGGCTGAGGGTGATATGAAAAAGGGGGATTTCAGAAGGGTGAGTAAAAAAGAACAATTCTCCATATTACTTCATCATGTGATTTACCCTTCTTTGTGTATGTTGTTACTAACATTTGAACAGTATAAGCATCACTTTCAAGTAGTTTTACATCTGCTTTTTGTGTTTTATGACATTTTCAAGTGACCATTACATCATTTTGGAGACATATTTATGAATATTTCATTGTTTTTTTTGTCCCAAATGTGTCAGTACTTGATTGTATAAAATGTACCTGAAAGTACTTTATTACATCTGGAACCATAACTAGCATCTTAGAAATATCCTTCATATACAACTTGTAAATCTTTCTCTAATTTACGGTCTAGTCTAATGTTATTTTGAGTTTGCCATGCTAAGTTTGAACCCTTTCACTGCTGCCTAACCCTGTAATCAATGGACAATTAGTATCCAAACAGCTACTTCAGTGTGCTAAAGGTTACAGATTTCTATGACTTAAATGTTGTATTGTTGATAGGTAGAACCATAAAGGATGACTCTTTGTGTTTGTTCTTTCTTGAAGGCTGTATTCTGTCTGGACCGGGCACTTGACCACGCACCACAGTGTACCAAGTTCAAAATCAAGAAGGCGGAAGCACTAGCTTTGTTAGGCAGGCACACAGAGGCACATGATGTAGTCAGGTGAGTCAGTAATTCAGTTAAATCATGTCTTCATGGATTTTCAATGTGACTACCGAGGGTTTCCATTTAAAACAATGGTGTTAACACAATGGAAGAGTTGATGTTCACTTTGTGATGAGTTTGCTAAATGAGAGAAAAAGTATTCATTTGAAAATGTTTACAATAGAGACTGTTGCAGATTTCCATTTCGTGCTTTTTACTGACAAAAACTTAGGGAAACAATTTTTGCAATTTTTGTTAATATGAGATGTTTGAATGAAGAAGACTACAAGTATTTGCTGAATGATTTGAATGAAACAAGACTGTTCTGTCCACTGTATTAGTGGGGGTGGCTAAATCTTGCCATGTTGTACAGTTAGGCAGAATTGTAGGTATAAGTGGTTAAGCCTCTTCTCCCAAAAGGGTGTTGAAAGTGGGTTCCAACTGATGAGCCGCTGCAATGAGCTTACCTTAAGTCTCTTCAAAAGGACACTACTTCTGTCTGAGGACAACCTCAAAGCTCGTGGATCCATGTTTCATTCCCACTTGGAAGTCAAGACGATTTTGAACAACTCAAGATGATTAAAAGACTTTTTTTTAAATGCCAAAGTGTAGACTGTACTGTATGTTTATGCATTGAATCTCTTGGAAATGACTTAAAATTTGTAGATTTCTGGGTAGATCTTTGTGTATGGAACAAGTTTAGGCATTTAAAAATTTGGAAGAAAATTTGAATCCAGACTGACGAATTTTGAAAAGAATTCACTAGACACGTACTCAGAGGTTTATCTACATTAGTACTGAAAGCAGTTCTCACTAGCCAAAAGAAAACTTAGTAGTTACTACCAAAGCCCAGGCCTGTTATTCTTTCTTTTTAGTGACAGTTATGTGACAACACGTGGACATTTTATTAGACAGTTAACAGCATTAATCTTCAGCCTCACGTATATTTCTACTGCTGAATACAATTAATTTCAGCAGTGCCCCGTGGTGTTGTGTTGTGTAGTTAGGCGGATGGTCGTTTGGCCATGTTATTAACGTGGCCTGTCACACATGGTGATCCCCCACATCTATCTCTCATCTCCCTCAAGGCACTTTCCCTGCATTATGAACCCTTCCGCAGGCTACACAGGGACATGGTATTTTAAAGCCTTTGTGGTGTTCAGAGTTTGATTGTGAAGAGTTTTGCCGAAGGTTTCATGCGCCGTGGTGTCCGTATGGTTTGCATATTTTTCACATCATTCTCCACTTGTGTCCTTGGGCTGCTTTTGTTTGATTTCCTTGGAAATGGCAGCCAGAAGTGTAGAAGTCTATCATCTTGCAGTATAGTGTGTTTTGTAGACATTTACGTACATTTGTATTCACTGACTTTTTGGGATTCAGTTTTTAACATGTTGAGTGTTACCCCCACTTTCTTGATACAACAAGAAACACAGGGACTGAATTTTCAGTAGGCTTGGTCACATTTTTTTGCGAGCAATGAAATAAGATTTATTTCTTTGGAACCCTCATTCAGCTTGTCTGGATTAGTTTTGAGAAAAAGAAAATAGCTACATGAGCGATGTAGTGCAAAAGGAAGAGACAATTTTTACATTTGCGTACTGTCAAATAAGATGCACAGATTTGGCAAAAGCACTACAAAAACTCTTCATTTTCCCAATTTTTCAATTCTATTTCTCATATCACTGCTTGAAATTGAAGAAATTAGATCCAACTTCCCTTCCCCAGAAAAAAAAAATCATCCCAGCCAGTGTTATTATCCCAGCGCTGAAGCACTGTTGGCTATGACAGGTGGTATTGATTTTTTAGCAAGTGTTACAAGCCCCGCCTGATCCCTCTATCTCTATCAATTGTAGGCAGACAGGTTGGGCTGCTTGATAAGTGTACATGTCAGCCATGTCAGGGTTCACACTCTGATCCTTACAACAAACTTTGCATGACTAAAACATTACACAAGCATCATATCCATTGATCCAGATATTTTACATGTACATCGTAGTGCTCTAACACCTTACTTGAAGGATAGCTGACATTATATCAGTGCCTGTTCTTATCCTAATCTTTGTTATATGTCAGTACACATGTGTACACTGCGTGTGTGTTTATTGATTTCTGTAAAAAGATAGTGTGAAGTCCATTCTTCTTTGCCATGTTGTTTTTGTGTTCCCCATTGTTCATGCACATGTAGCTGTGGTCTAGTATCAGAATACATGTAACTTTTCATAATTCTTATGAGGAAAGGTGTCTGATTCAAGTCTATCAAATTTGCAGAAGCTACAGTAGTCGACAGGTTATCATTATGATAGTGGCATAGAATAGAGATATAATAAAGGCCTTGAATGTCCATGTGCATAGTGAAGAATCTGATTTGTTTATCTATAATTTGTTTATTATTTGCCACACATTGTAGAAGGATTGACATAACAGCAGACAAGTGTGGACTGTGTGGTGGGATCTTAAACATACTTGAGGTGTGGCTTTTCTCAAACATGGGACCTCTATTTTACTTCCTGTCTCAGAGGACGTCCCTTTCCAAACTTAGATACTCATTTTCACCTGATAGTCAACGACACAACACTGGGGCCTGTCAGGGATTCGAACCCACAACCCAAACCACTAGAACACTTTGTCATCAGTCTGTATTTTGTATGCTAAACCCAGTATTGTTCTGTTTTCTACAGTAACATCCTCCACGTAGACAACATGAACGTGGATGCCATGTATGTGCGGGGACTGTGTCTCTACTATCAGGACAACTTGGACAAGGCCTTTGCACACTTCCAACAAGTCCTCAGGTTAAGCCCTGACCACGAAAAAGCCAAAGTTGCATTTAGGGTAAGTGTAAGACGAGAAAACGCTCTCATCAATCTCATCAATCATCAAGCTCTTGAATCAACTTCAGTATCAGTATCTGTATAGCTGGTATAACCGCCCTTCGGCACAACACACCAGCTTTGCAGGCATGTGGCGCAGTGGCAGCTAGCTTATATTACACCAAACGACTTGTTACACCCAATCTTTGCACATTTGATTCCAGGAGTTGTTTAAATCTTTCTAGTGATGATGCCCCAGATGTACTTGGTGGCAACAAGTTCCACTTTACAATAGTTATGTGGAAAATACAAGTTTTTGAACCTCAATTCTTGGTTGATAACTCTGATATTTGGAGGCATGACTTAAAACCTCACAGATTGAAAAATTGACTAACGTAATATTTTTTTCCTGTCCCACAGAAAGCTAAAAGCTTGCGAGCTAAAAAGGAGGAGGGGAACAGTGCCTTCAAGGCAGGACGGTACCAGGAAGCGTATGATCTGTACTCAGAAGCCTTAAGAATAGACCCCCACAATGTCTTCATCAACTCCAAACTCTATAACAACAGGGCTACTGTAGGGGCTAAGGTAAGAGTCAAAACCATGAAGAAAGAGTACTTATTTACATGTAGAATGTCTACTACATGTATAAATAGTGCTATTTTCATTAGGCCACACCAATTTAATTTCTTGGTTAACGGATTCACCCGCTTCATTTTTTTCTGATTTGGAAATAAAAATAAAAATTCAGAATCAACTGCAAAATAATGATATTTTGCCCTGAACAGTTGAAAACAGTCCTTTTCATCCTACAGTTATACCATTATTTCAATGCAATGGTATCATTAAAAGTTCAAAATTCATTGTTTAGATTTTGAACCAGCCTGGTGTGTTGACTTCATGGCTCCTATTGTACCATTTTGGGCCATAATAGGATGCCTAGGCCTGTTTTTATTTTTATTTTTTTTCGCCCGCCCGCTCCATTATTTTTCCTAGAAAAATCCGTTAACCAAGAAATTAAATTGGTGTGGCCTTAGCAATATTTTCTAATGCTGATTTCTTTCTTCCATGTAGTGTTCTAGTGAGCCTGATTTTTTTTTCTGTCATCTCAATTTCGTTTGACATTACATCTTGTCAAACATTGATTTTTGTCTGTCAAAAATGAAGGATTGGGCCAAATTTTTGGCCGTCATTAGTGGTAAAATTCCTTGAAAGAATGAAAAGACAGACACTAGCTAGAACACTGCTCTCATGACAGTTTGCAGAAAAAAAATCTATATCAAAAGGGATTTTTTAACAGCTTGTTTTGATGTTTGTCTCTGCTGTGTTCTGTGTTGATGGCGTTGGTTGCCATAGCTACACGAGATAGACACGAAACTTAGCCTGCAGCCCATGGACGGAGCAGAGGATATATTCAAGGTTCCCGCCGCTGTTGGTGTTTTTATTCCACGTTGGTTGTTTCCCTTTCCACACATCCACACACTTCCACTGTTTCATGTTTCTTCAAGTGTACTTTTCTGTTGTTCAAACATGTTGTATGTGCCAGTACCACTGAATTTTGGTCTAATTGGAGAGCTGATATTATATAAGATGCCTGTTTTAACACTTACTTACTACACTTGTTGCTGTTCAAGGTCTATCCACCATTTGGTCCTTCATTTGTTACTGTTAATTTGATCATCCCATAGCTTTTATGACTAATAATATGAGGCTATGGCTTGGCGTGTTCCTTCAAATTCATCAATCAATATTTTACTTTTAGGGCTGTCAATTTATGCTTCATACTGAGCTTGTAAAGAATAAATGGAAAAATCCAGTAGTATTGCTGGCAAGGAGTTACATTTTATCAGTAGTTTTTAACCATTTTTTATATGTTAGAATATGTTACTGACAAAGATTTTCTTGCTCCAGGTAAACAAGTTAGATCAGGCTATCCAAGACTGCACAGAAGCCATCAAGCTAGACGATAACTACCTGAAAGCATATCTACGGAGAGCAAAATGGTAAGATTTCACACGATTATTCTATGTTCAGCTAAGAAAGAGTAAGGCAAGAAATGATTTTTGTCTATTGGACTGAATAGTCATCTGCCATCTCTGATTGCATTGTTGTATTTTATCTTGTTTTTAATAAGTTGAAACTAATCTCTTTCCAGCTACATGGATACAGAACAGTATGAGGAAGCAGTCAGAGACTATGAAAAAGTCTTCAACATGGAGAGAACAAGGGGTATGGCGTGGTCTTAATGTTTAAAACCAGAATATCTTGGACTTTCTCCAATTGTCGATAAGACTCAATAATCCATTGGTTAATTTCTTGTACCGGTATTTAGGTACCAAAAAAAAGCCTTTTCTTGAGATCAGAATATTTATCAAGTTAGCTAACACTGCTAAATACAGTGTACATGTATATGTAGATGTACATGTGTATGTTCAATTCACAATGATTTATGAAAATAACATCTACATTGAATTTGTCTCCTTTTTCAGAGCACAAACAGTTACTAAGCAATGCAAAGTTAGAGTTGAAGAAGAGCAAGAGGAAAGACTATTACAAGATCCTCGGTGTCAGGAAAGACGCCTCGGATGATGAAATCAAGAAGGCCTACAAGAAGAAGGCCTTGGAAACACATCCAGGTATGGGACACTTTATTAGATTTAACAGTACTTATTCATAATGTACTTAGCAGACAAGAACGCTTTAATTTGTTTTGTCATGAAACGTATACTAACAGTAAGGTCTGTACTCAAAATGAGCTGGCAGGAACTCAATTATGAGCATTTGGATATTCACATTCAATTTTGCTGTTGTCTTTTCTTGAATATATTGTTGCATTATTTGAATATATGTACCCAGGTTCACTCTGAAAAGCAGTGCCCAGTCAAATAGAGTGCCACCCTGTAAAAAGAACACGACATCCAAGAAATAGAATCCCTTTTCAAGACTCTGCAACACATTGAGATTGTTGTTGTACTATGTGTAAGAATCCTCAAGTTGTGCTTGTCACTATACTCCACATATATGTAAGGCACATTATGTTGCTATAACTTGAAACCATCACATCTCCCCAGATCGCCACTCAAGTGCCACCCCAGAAGAGAAAGCGGAGCAGGAGAAGAAGTTCAAGGAGATCGGCGAGGCGTACGCCACCCTCTCGGACTCCAAAAAGCGCGTACGGTACGACAACGGACAGGACATTGACGACATGGACAGTCCGTTCAGCCACGACTTTGACCCCAACACCATCTTCCAAGCTTTCTTTGGAGGTGGTCACGGAGGTGGTGGTCAACACTTCAGTTTTGGAGGTCCTGGTAAGTATTTGTAGAAATCTCTTTCTCTCTCTCTCTCTCTTCCTCCAATACCTTTAGAAAAGCATGCACTACTTTGCTGTGTAGTATTTCTTAAATGCAAGTTATCTGCTAGATGATACTGATACTGGCACTACAGATATATCGGTAAGCAACATCTGTGTCACCTGCGTTGAAACTACAAGCAGTAGTGATGGTGTTGCTGCTGTGCAGTACTTCTTATTTTGACTAGGTGGAGTACTTCTAGTGATGCTCTCAGTCAGCTTTAACCTGAGTTTGCTTAATAATTTGAATCAATCTTGATGTTCTTTTCAGGCGGTAGTTTTTTTCGAGGTTTTCGAGGGTCTAGTCCGAGTGGCAGTTTTCGAGGGTCTAGTCCACATGGAAGTTTTCGAGGGTCTAGTCCACATGGCAGTTTTCGAGGGTCTAGTCCACATGGCAGTTTTCGAAGGGCTCAGAATAGATACTCCCAGCCAGGCTATGCCCAGGGGTTTTCGAACGCTCAGCCAACACATGGATCCTTCCAAAGTAACAGTAAAGGGACGTACAATCCCAGGTATGGAGGTAATAACCAGTCCCGTGCCTGGGAGAACCTCTACAAGACTAGCCAGCCCCGTCCCCGGCCAAACCCCATGTACACCTTCCAAACCGAGAGTGAAGCTGGCCCAGGTATGAAAATATTTACCTCCGCGCAAAACCTGTCTGAAGGCCAAGACAAGAAACGTCAAACTGAAGAGAAGGCTGATTCTGATACCTCCAGTTCCAACAGCTCTAGCATTCCGGATAGTAGTTCTAATACATTCACAGAAGCTAAATTTTCAAGCCCATTAGAAAGTCTTGTCAGAGATGAGGACGAAAAGAAAAGCGAGCCAGAGTCTAGCACTTCCAGGTCACGGTCATCTACTTCCAGGTCACGAGGGTCACAGTCAAACGTCAGGGCAGACTTAGCAGCCACAGCTGCTAAATTAGAAGAGCTGAACCAGAAAACCCCAAAAGAGCCTCAGGGTGCTCGAAGACGGGCTAGTAGCTCTAAGAGTCCCATCCGCATCCCTGGTAGAAGGAGCTCCTTTAAAGATACAAAGGCTCGATTTGAGCAGACTGAACCAAGTTCCCCTGAGGCAAGGGGGAGGGAAGGGTCCCGGGAGTTTGTGTTTAGAAACCAGGGGGTTCCAGTGTACCGTTCGAAGAGCACAAGTGCGGGTGGCAAAGAGAACAGAAATGGGAGTAAGAGGATGAGCAGCCCTAGTCCTCACCGTAGGACAAACCTCAGACAAGGGCTCTGGAGAACTAGGAGGTTAGATGACGAAGAGAATAGAGACATTGCAAAGATCTCTGAAGATGGTCATGAGAAAGACGATATCTCTTCTGATTTTATCTTTTTTGATGATGATCATTATGGGGAAAAGAAAGCAGAAGTTCCCGAGGCTGTTCCAAAAGACACAGTCACAGGTGCAGCACCTTCAGATTTCATTCAATTTGAGGAGGACCATTTTGGCAGCTCTGAAGTCTTTGGGAGGGAAGAAACACAAGAAGTAACAGTTGATTTTGGCAGGGAAAGCAGGAAGTCCAGGAGCAAAGAAAAGAGCTTCAGTTTCAGTAGTGAGCCACTGCCTAAGGCACCTGTTCGGAGAAAACACAGCAACAAGGCCACTGGTTCTAACCAGTCCAACACCGTCCCTGTCGCACCTCCAAGGAAAAAGAGAACTAGCTTCCGATCCTCCACTACTGAAGAAAATGGCCCGGGGGAGCCGTTAGCTCACTCTAGCCCCAGGCTGCCCCGTACAGGCTCAATCCCAGAGTTCAGAAACCCCCCTCCCTGTGAGGATGGCACCCCCCCTCCGTCAGAGTATGAGAACCCCCTGTACTACAGGGAGCTGTCCATGTCAGACACCTGGGAGACTGACTCAGTAATCGCCCTGCGTACTCGCAGCCCGCTAGACTCCATAAGGAAGAGGTTGTCCCGTGTTGGCCGAGCGTTCAGGTCCTGCATGGGGAGGGACAGTAGGCAGCGCACTTTTTCAGATTCATCCACAGCGGGAATGGTTCCTAACCTAGAGGACACTGTGGACTGATAATGATATACTGTTATTCTATTAAGGACACATTACTGCTACTGAGTTGGAAAATTTTACAGTACATTATGAATATATTGGATACATGATAAAGTCATTTAAAAGAGCATACCTCCTCTTATATGATCAATTACAGTTAAATATTTGAGGTGAATAATTTTACAATATATTTACAGGAGATTAGAAATCGTATTTTGACAATGCGTTTTGACCCAGTTTTATTTATTTCATATTTTATGTATAATTATTTTGTGGGATCAAATCTGTTTGTTTTTGTGGTGGTAGAGCAAGTGCTGTGTGTGTGCAATAGAAATATAATGTATTTTTATGGAGTTTTCAATTCTATTAGTAATTGAGAAGTCGAGTCTCTCGCTGCTGGAAAATGGTGCTCTTTGTTTTTGTGCCAGTAGAGCAATTTATGCTGCAAGAACTTCATATGGTACATGTAACTTGTGCAATGAACAGAATTTCATACAATATTATTTAGAATAAAGTTATAAGTTGTTTTTTAAGGATGTTTTTCTGATTCAATCTGGTTGTTGTCCCTTTTCTTTTTCTGCACGGTTTCTTCCTGCTTTGACACTCACAGCCACATTTCCATGATAGTTGCACTGAGGTGGTCATGTCAAATATGGTGTAGTACATGTAGTCCAGAGAGATGAATTTATGAACAGTCTCAGTCTATTTTTTTTTTTGTAAACTGCTTCAGGTAGACTTCAACAAAGTCCATGCTCAGTCCCTTCAAAAATTTATTGATGTTCAAAACTTAAAATGGCAGTAGCATTAGCTTTATGCTCATTATGTTACATTACATTTCATCTCGTCTATCCCTTAGTCCCTTAATTATTTGACCATTTGGGCTCCGCAAACGTTCTGGCAAACAGTTTTCTCCGCCCTTCTAGGTTTTCTGTTCTTTGACACATATACAAACAGGACGCGTACAGAAATGCAATATTTTGCAGCAAAGAGAAAAAAAATGGACTTGAGCTCAGGATAATTTCTTCTCTCTCTTTGGTTGCAGAGCACCTGTGCATTGCACTGCATTCATGTTTAGTACCGGTAACGCAAGTCTAAATGTAGATACTGCTGGTGGGTTTTTCCTTCATCTATAAGATCTAAGCTAGGAAACCAGCCTGTGCAAAGGTAACCTACTGTCCTACGTAGTACCTCCCCTCAGTTCCACTGTCTGATAGGATGTTTCTTTCCTCCTCAGGTGGCGGCATGGGAGGCCCTGGCGGGAACCCCTTTGGGCCAGGCTTCACCTTCCAATTTGGCTGAAGACTGCAGCGCTACATACGCCCCCCACCCACACCTAAAGGCAGTCTTCCCTCTATGCCCCAGCAAGTAGCCTCAAATCAGGGCCCTTTAGGTTACTCTGCTGACCTCATGAATAGCAAACAAAAAAGTTTAACAGTTTGGCCTTTCACATAGTCACAAAACAGATGTACAGAAAATTTTTCAACTGAAACAGATCTCAAGAAGTAGCCTTCACATATCATTATACACTAAACACAATCATGCAAATTTGAAGCATATAGTACATGCAACAGTGAATTCTGTCGTAGCCCTGCCAAAAGTCTCACAACCTATACATTGTATGTGAATGACAGGCTTTGAGGGAATGGCTTGCAGAAAGTACAACTCAAATGTGTATAGCATTGATAATTTTAGCAGTAATTTTCTTCCTTTCCAAGCACCAAAGAATATATTTGACCCAACAAACACTGCAGCAAAGGAATCACAAAAACAAGAAAGCAACACTGTTAGATGTTGCAGAGTCTCGAAGTCCAAATGTTGACCACAGAAAAGTAGAAGGAATACTGCACTTTAACACATGTAGGAGTAGATTTGCACCTAGTGCTTGGGGGATAGTACATTAGATGTGTGTGGTGGAGGGGCATTCTGGTGTGTTGTAGAGTGCCGTGGTGTGGGTGAAACTGTAAAGCTTTGTGCTCAGGACTGTTTCATACTCAACCTACAACTTTCAATAGACAAGTTTGATAAAAGAAATTCATACAATCATGTACATTTGTCATCAGGTAGTTTGTATTTTTGCGAATCTTGATTTAGTTATGTTACATATTATTGTGATATATTTTGTATATGTCAAAGCCAAAATTGTGTAAGTCAGAAACATATGCTGAAAATGTTTTACCATAGTAACCTAGCAATTGAAACTATGAACAAGACAGTCTTATATGTAGATCTATTAGATACACGTCAAAAGGAGTGCCATCAAGACTTCTTTAAGATGTTTAGAGCAGTTCGGAGGTGCAAGGAGACTACCTGATTAAGGAAATCTAGAAATGATGTACAGTTGGTTTCTTAAGATGAATAAAAATTCTTCACCAAAGTTTTCTTTTTAATCTGAAAGAGAGAAATACCTCTTGTTGAGTGAGAATCAATAAACACAAGCTTATGATCATTCTGGCAAAGTTTCATCTGTGTAGGTTTAGTGGGACTTGAACTAATCAGGAAAATTCATCTGGCTATGTACGTTGTAAGGCTCAAGACTCTTGGTGTGATGCAGCGCTTCTCAGTATCTATTGCATGGTACATGCAGGTTTAATGTTGCAACGTTGCAAAATCTACTTTTAATATGGTTATGCTGTGGATGTGACTTGTATACCATTGGGACATTTCTATGCAGACTTGAATTACAAATTTTGTCGCATACAGATGTAATATTATACTGTACCGTTGACTCGAAAATGGCATAAATTATTATTATTATAGCTGATACACTTTTGTGACATACATGTACATGGTAATTCCTGTAGTAAGCCACAATCTTGGTTGAATATTAGAACTCACTCCTACTAAATTTGACATATTATTATTTAAATTTAACATATTATTGTTATTAAATTAGACACATGCAGTTAGGAAATTTATTTTTAAGACCTTGCTAGACTTTCCATGCTTGTTTTGCATAAATGTTCATTTAACAACTAATGTTAATCTCTATATACATGTAGCATATCATGTTCATTGTTGGTGCATCATGTGCATATTGTACATCATGCTCATATTATGTTTTAGAATAAAAAGTGTCCTTTTGTGCTACTGTACATTGTGCTGGCCAAGACAAAATGAATTAAAATTCTTTTTCCCTTAACACTTTAAAGTTACTCATGGCTGTTTATTTAATTGTTTAACCTTGTACTAAGTACTAAATGAAAAGAGGTTGTACATTATTTGTACATAAGGCCACGTTGATTTGATTATATGGATGACATCCGCGCGCGCATGAATTTTCGGCCGTTTCCAAAAAAAAAAAGTTTTCAACCATACTGTAAATCGTACAAAACAGTTGCAAAATGAGCAAAAATATACCGTAAGTTACAAAAAAATAAGTAAAAACTATACCAATGTCGTAGAATGCCAAAATCAAACGAAAAAAGACGAAATTGTAAGGAAATGAACTTGAAGATTAGATTATTCGCCAAACCATATTCTGTCCCATTTGTTCAACCCTCATGACCACGTAGATTTAATAATGAAAACAACTTTTTTTTTTGCAAAACTTTTTTTCTATTCGCACACGCACATCAGTTTTGGGGCTCCCGGAGGATGTCATCCATATAATCAAATCAACATGGCCTAAATCCTTGTCAAAGGGAATATGCAATTCATGTATCTGAACTAAATCAATACAATCTTAAACCCCTCCCCTAGATATCTTCTGAACCATCCCTAGCTAATTTGCATGGGCATTAATGAGTCTGATGGAGTCAGGCCTGAAACAGCATCAGAATCTTTCATTAGCATACCAACATGGACGTATGTACCTACGGCACTCACAGGGTGTCAATCATCTCATACAGGCTACTTGGTTAGTCTGTGCAGGCTCTTTGGGCTGAGCATGAATACCCAAGCCATGCAGAATGATTCTAAAGCATCTCATCGCTTATTCCAATCATCCAAAGGGTCCTTGGAAAAATTAGAGCATAGGTTTTCATTTGTTTGTGTGTTTTTGAGTGGACTTCTAGCCAAATCTGTTCAAAAGAGGATCGTAGAAGAATACAGTGCATGTCTGCGTAACAACTAGAACAATCTGGCCAACATGTAGTATTGCTTGAAATTTTAATATCATTTTGCAATTGAGCCAGGAAAATGGTTTAAAACTGCGGGTTAATGCAAAATGGCTTATTTTGGAAATGAGTCCCTGATTTTACATATTTTGTACATGTACAACAAAGAAGGATTTTTATCCCAAAGATTTGAACATAACATTATCCAAATCCTTCATAATACATTATACCAACACAGATGGACATTCAACTTCAATCTAGGTCTTGTCATAGGTAAAAGGATGATATGTTTGTGGTATTACTGAGTATATGTTTTAAACATGTCTTTGTAGAAAACTCTACATTGGTATCACAAAGAAGAATCAATTTTTAAAGCAATCAAAGCAAATGACTTGAAACAGGAAATGCCATGTCCTAGTATCAGCAACAGAGGGATCATTGTATGACATTGTGTAGTTGAATGACTGAGTTGCTATTTGTCAAAGGTCAACTATGTGTAAAATGCATCATAACATATATGATCCTTTATGTAGCTTTTTATGTTACAGAGGTTATTGGTTGATAAAGATAACATAATATTACCAGTACTAAAATTCTTGAAACCTTTTGTCCCAATGTTTATGGATCATTTTTATGGGAATAATTACAGATAGAATTGCAATATTTTTTCTTGCTTCACTATTGTAACTCTGACTAATCTGTACTGTAACAGTTTTTTTACTGTAACAGTTTTTTTTTTGACAATACATAAAGGTTTTGGTATTGTGAACATGTTTGTTCAAATGAGAATTGTACAATCACTATAATTTTATACACAAGTGAAACTACATGTATTTCAGTGCTATTTTCTAGCAAAAAGTGACAATTGTACGTTGTCCTTTTTTGTCAGAAATAAACAGAATGTTGGATCATGCCATGATAGAAAACAGACCATGACGCTAGCCTTCCTTGTACATTTGATTCATGCCACCCATCTTGTAAATAAACGATTGTGTTCAAAGGACAAAATTGTGTGAAACTTGTGATATTAAATTCATGAACAAGGTGCTATAGGACAAAATATGCTGTTGAGGAAAGGGGGTTATCTTGAAGACATATTTAGAATGTCCCTAAGGATAAAGGTTAATCCAAGGTGACCTTCACCTGTGTTGAGGTCTTTTGAAGTCCTTTGTTGTCTTACGGAGCACGGAGACAACACCAATACAGTAGCAAGTATACATGTAACACATTCTTAACCTTGAGTGGCCAAAGGATTCATGGAAATTAACCAATTGGACATCATTTTATACATCTAACCAAAATACTTGGAAGTTGCAACCTGGATTTGAGAAATAATATTTATCCGGCAACCTGCCCCTACAAATTGGTTGCCTGTTATTAAAAGGCAAAATTTGGTCACCCAAGGAGACAGCAATCTTCCACAGATCAATTCTAAAGATTTGGTTCCAAATGGGCTGAACATCAAAAGGGTTTACTGTTTAAATCTATATATCACCTAGCTTTTTCCCAGCCCTAGATGTTATTAACTTCATCTGGATCACCAAACCTTGGTGCACTAGCCTCCATCACACTTAAGGATCAGTATAGCTGGCCAGGGGAGTGAGCCAGTAACATTTCCCTTAGGAAACAGAGGAAAATAGATGCTATAGTGGCCTAACTACCTCTGCAAATTGTTCACAATATTTTGTTTTACTATTTTCCAGCCTGCATTGTTGACTACATGATTGTTCATCTCTTTAAATGATTGGATCCAATTGTAACCGTATTAAACATAATGATTTTGTCAGGTCATAAATTTTGTCTTATCATTAATAGCAACAAAATTCTGTCAAATGATGGAAAAAAACGTGGCCTGAAATCCACCCTTGAAAACAGAAGCAGACCTGAGGTACATTGTAGAATGGAGCAGTATCCACTGCTGGATTTCATGTTACGATGGATCTAGTCATTGTTTCCACCTCAATGGTCATACCTGATACGTTGCAATAATATCAGATGTATATCTGATGTTTTGAACGCCGGCTCATATGAATCTAAATGCTGTATTCCCCGCAATCGTTTTAACTCAGCAATGTAGAGGCTGCAAAATAAAGCTTTCTAAGCCTCCAGTTTCCTCAGTTGTTTTTGCTGTGACTCACTGGAGTCCTGTTCTTTAATACCAGGTTGCTGCAGTTGTTGTAATACAATCCCACATACCCCTAGGGGCAGCAGGTGGCATACTAAATAGGGAAGTTAAACCTACATGTAATCACAGAGAGAACGTATGATCTTGGCATGATTTTGGCATGTCATTTTGTTAATCTTTTTGTTCATCTTTCGAGTGTTTCGTTTGTCCTATTTTATTGAAAGTGTTGCATTGTGTTGAAGTCAAACACCTGCTTGAAGCTTCTGTCAGACCTGTTCTGATTTCCGAGTTGCCTGGTGGGGGATAATCCTTACTGCACACTCTGGTATGCATGCATGCTGCTTGGGATGTCATTCAGGGATGGGCCAACAGCGTTCGTTCGGTGGGCAATGGAAAAAACATGTATTTAAATATGTATTTAAATATGTATTTATGAAGCTTTACCACATTAATTTTGTGGAAGGAATTGACACAACAGGTGACTGTCCAGATATCAACCCCGAGACCAGACTGGAAGGTTTTACTTTAAACCACTTAATATACCCCTGCACTTTTCGATGAGTGTGGTGGAATCTTAAAAACATGCTTGAGGTGTGGCTTTCCTTATACACAATTGCAATGTTTGGATGCCAAAAAATATTAAAGAAGATTTAATTGTTCAGTTACATTATCATGGGAAGCAAAAATTATTTTCCTTTGCTGAATACCTGTAAAATTCTCAACACTAGTGAAAATGTTGACTGTGCTATACATTGTACTCCCATTGATTTTGACATATCTACATTACACTTAGTAGTACAATGTAATTAAAAGGTGTTCTGGGAAACCCCTGACATTCTCCCATTGACCTTATTTTTGAGACCTTTATATTGATAGAAATAGTGTTCTTGAAACCCTTGCAGTAGCCTCGGTTGACCTTGATCTGAGGTAAATCCATGGTGTCACCAGAGTGCAGCGGCAGTCAGGGTTCATCAATCATGTTCAGGGAACCATCCCTACAGTACATCCTCAGCAAACCTCCAAGCAGATCCAACAGTTTAGAAGACAGTAGCCATTAGTTAGACTGTGACCATTGGCCAGCCCTTCATACCATGAGCCACCAATGGTCACAGCTCTGGCCAATGGATACTGTCTTGCCACCGTAGGATCTGCTTGGGGATTATGAAGAATACAGACCTATGTACTTGCACATTCAGGGATGTAGCCTCTATAGTATATTCTCTCCCAGCAGAGGTTTGGTACCACGGTATGTTTGGGGCATTTGGAGCTAGGATGAAACAGAAAACCTGACAAAACACCTAATAGATCTAAACCTTCTCTCTTTGCTACTGAACAGTTCAACCCTATAACCAATAGAGAATCTGTAGCCAAAACACTGAAATTTCAGTGTGCTAAAGGTTAAAAACTGCCCAAAACAGGCCTATGTTCAATAGCAGTCACTGCATCAGGCATTTTCCCCCTCTTGTCCAAACCTATTTTTGCTGCTGAGTCGATCATTTGTCCTCTTCACAAATCTATGAGGCATACCTGCTGTTTTCTGATTGCTACCTTGTTCCAGTAGGTTCAGCCTACAAAATTTAAATAGGACCCATTAGACCATGCTGATTGAATGAGCTTTGACATTTCAAGGGTTAAATAGCTCCAGGACTTGCTAATAACTTTATGCATATTTCAGGGCACCGCATTTGGCTCTTAGAACAGAATGATGCCTATTTTTGTCATGTGCAAATTAGATACATGTCCGAAAAGAGTTTCATCGGGTTGGTAGAACATACAATACCGGTATTGAGATTTTCATTTTCACATAAAAAAACAAAATTTTTATATCCTATTCATGTAATATTTCTGCATTCCATATATATGTATAACTGCTATATATAAGTCTTACTTAAGGTACATGTACATGTAATGCCTTGCTTAACATCCAAACTCAAACTTCTGTATGTTAATGCTTTACCTGTGAGAGAAGATCCAATATAAGATGTCATTTGACTTGACTTTTAAGTTTTATTCCATCATGTGTAACATTGTTCTTCACATAGGGCATGGCCATATAACAACTCTAATACAGAACCTTATGACTTACAACATAAAATCTGTAGCTGTACCAAAGCTTGTCATCTGTCCTTTGTAAACAAATCTAGCACTACAAATAAGTATTCATTACATACAGTCTTCACTAAGTCATAACAGGTCATAGTCCTCACTGATGAAGCTTTTTTAAACATGATGAATACATATAATATATACTATTCAATGTAATGTGTCACTAAATATTAAATGTTACAGTATGGCCATCTTTGTTCACAACATTTTCAGTTCCCATAACAAATAAACGTTTGTATTACAAAATAATCCTCCAAAAGGATAAACAACAGAGTACATATCAATGTGCAAAAGTGCTTCATTTTAAGATGAACATTTTGTGCAATTTTTCTATAATTTTTGTCATTTTTCTAACAGCTTCCTTGTATCAACTAATCAACTGATAGTACAGTTTATTCTCAATGAATTCTTTTGCACTTTCTCTACCCTCACAATGTACATGACATATGGTAGTAGCTTTTTGCCAGCTGTAATAAACTAAAGTATTGACCCGTAGCAAAGCACTTCTTCTCAATAAAGATATATGTTTTTAATGCATCAAGTTTTTCTCTCCTTTATAAGTGAACCTGTCCTGAGCAGTGATATGTGTAGTTAAGATTACCATATTGTGCAGACTTCTAGCCTAATGTAGACACAGTGCTTACAATGATCCTATACTTAGACATGTGATACACATGCTTGTACTATTATATAACAAACATTTCTACAATTCTCTGTACTTGAGCTGTTGTGGCATAACATTCCCTGCATGCAGTTACATGTAGTTTTGATGCAAACATTAAGGATTTGTTGTTCAATTAATGTTATCGGTGAAAAAAGTCATTCTTTACACTTGTCTTTGAACAAACTTGAGCTAAATTTACAAACATTTGTGTTTTGTGAAAGTTATGTTTAAGCTTACCTGATTCCATTCTGTTTTTCTCCATATATATAATAGGCTTCAAAAGCTTACTGAAGTTCCACACTTCACTGAACACTTGGTATTGCAACTATTGAGACAAAGTCTACACAGTATTTGGAAGGATGACTTTTAAATCAGACACTACTTGGTGTTGTCCAAAGGCAAGAAAGGTCCAAACATTGTGTAGAATTGTCTACAATATAAAAGACTATCATGTTAAAGTGACAAGACGAAAAGATTTTACAGACACTGTTTTTTTGTACAACATTAGCACAGTTTAAACTACATGTACACGAGTTCTAAGCATTACAAAGTCTGGCTTGAGATTGGTTAGTAAAGCACTCTGTCATAGTCCAGCCATTATTTTATAAGAGGAAAAAGGATAGGCTTGGAGAGTGGAGCACGCTGCATTACGTGGCGTATCTCTTGGTCCATTGGCGAGCTATCCTGTCATGTTCGTCTCTCGTGTTGGTGTACTGTGTCGCGATCGTTCCAACTAGAGGATCATCTGAAACAGAAAAGCCAGGGTCAGTCTCATTGAGATTCTTACCGGGTAGTAATAAACATAAAGTACAGCAGCAGCTCTTGGGCTCTTCAATGAAAAAAAAAATTAAAAAGCCAAGCAATCCTAAAATGTGGTATGAGCTGTAGTTTAACTGTTGATGTTTTTTTGTTGTTTTTTTTTTCAAAATCAAAGGAATGACTACTATCCACATTTAAGTCTTTCTGTAATATGACAATGCATCTAAAAAGTCATTACAATCAAGAAATGCTCTCTTCTAAAAACTTCACTGCATTCTGTTTGGGCAAACCACATTTAGTATACAGCATTCAGTCCTGGTATTGTCCATCCAATTTTAGTATGAAGTTTAGGTAAGGAGGATATCTACAATGTATGTGCCATGTGCATGGCAAATACATGTACATGTAGCAGAGAGTTTTAAATACAATGAAGAAAGGTGCTCTTAGACTAATAAAATCTTAGATACCTTTGTCACAGCATTCTGTTTGGGTAAACCACATTCAATTTTGGTATACAAAGAGTGTTTTGGTGTCCAGTTTTAGTATCAAGCATACAGTTTAGGTAAAAAGGATATCTATATGCCACCCATGTACTGACAAATGGCTGCCAGAAAACTATCCCCCAGCTCTGAAAGTTACGTTAACAGGCAAACAAAGGTGTAGTCTTATCTCTGCCAGGAATGTCAGCCCCCCAGCAAATTGTCATTCCTCACTGCCACATACAGGAAGACTTGAGAACAGGCATGATAGACATCAGTGCTGAAGGCAGGCAGGGAAACTGCCAGGCAAACTGACTTTGAAATGAGAGGGTCGCTTCTGTGGCCATTATAGGCATTAGGGACTGCGTCATGTAAATCTTCAAATCAAAATCAGTTTAGGTCGCTTTTTTTTTTAATGCTTTTTAAAGTTGCATTATTTCATTTTCATTATTTCATTTTGATGATAACGCATAATGGTAACGTTATATGGTAGCTATTCTCTAGCTCCTATGCTAATAGATGCAATTAGTAGTCATAGCATGCATTCAAAATTGGTACACAAAATTTAAACCACAATCTCTATACTTAAATGGATTTTGCCATTACAAATTATTAATATGACTGTGAAAATAACCCTGTATGTTCCTCATCCATGACTTGAAATCTATGCAGCACCATACCCTAAATAATGTGTTTTTCCTTTATGTAAGACAGCATGGAAATTATTCAGTTAAACTGAAGTCTCAGTGGGCTCTCTGGAATATATGGGACTTCCTAATTCCAGTTGTTATATGGTGGGAAAATGGCTATTCATTTTACACGATGAACAGTATGACTTGAAATAAGGCAACTATGGAATGCACCAAATAAGCCACAGCTACCGAATAATACCTTCAATATATTACTGACTTAAAATTTCTGCATTCTAAACGGTCTTACTTACATCCCAGTACACAATTTCTTGGATATAATATCACGAACCCTTTATCTTTACTATCTACAGCTCCGTTGATGACATAATGCCATCTTTAAACAGTCTACGATGATTATACGACCCTTTTGTGCTGAAGTTGAATGATAGTGCCCCAGGGACCGGTTGGATATGCACACACCTCGCTGTCAGGTACATTGTACATACATAAGCTCGCGCACCAAATACTCATGTAGTTTGACTAAATTTTACCTCCAATCTCATAATAATTGCATACAAAGACCCTAGATTACCATTGAAGAATTTTGAATTCCACATATATATGCGCCATGTCATCTTTCATTTGACAAGTGAATATCAAAATGCGTGTCAGAGGATTTTGACTTGAAGCAAAGCTACATTTTTACACCAACTGGCTCTTCCAAATGGAAATTAACACACTACATGTACATGATTGTACATTGTCATTCAATTGACCTTCAGGTATATACTAAATGGTCTTCCTCCTTGTGCAGCAATGTCTATGAATGCTAAGTTAGCAATGATGGTGAGGTACATGAATAAATGCCTGGGGAGCAAACCTACTTGAAATATGTGTCCTCAACTTCAATGCTAAGCCTTCATATGATAAACATAGAGTCTTATCTGGGTGTATACAGTATATAAAATCATAATTTCAATCACTTCTACTATTGAAACATGAAATGACATTAATAAGTCTAATGATTATATATAGAATTACCAAATGTTTAGAATTAAAGCTTCAGGTCATAAAAATTCAACACCTAGGAAGACAAATTATATATATATATCCATCCATTGGATGGGTTTTCGTACTTGGATTGCAGTCAGTTAGCAGTGAGCAGATGGACAGCAGGACTTTGGAGATGGTGAGGGCGGGGCTCCAGTTGTCCTTCAGTATGTCCAGACAGATCACACCTTGGCTGTTGATGTTACAGTGGTAGATACGAGTCCGGAATGTCACCTGGACAGACACAAATTAACAGTCGTGTCACTTCATTTCTTTCTGAGGATCAATTACAACAGACGAGTCAAAGGTCTAGATGAAATCTCCAACAGCAGCCACGGCTCACCTTAGGAGGTTTGAAGGGATAGTCTTGTGAGAAGTGGATGTCCAGGAAGAAAACTCCGCCCTCGTACACAGACCCAGGCGGCCCCAGGATGGTGGACACCCATTCATACAGGTTGTCTCCTTTTGGACCAGCACTGGGGAAAAATATGACAGAAATCATTAGAGATTGAAACAATCTGACCCAAAATTATCCAGACAGCAGTTCACGTAATACAGATCCTTAACAATATGTTTTATTGATAGTGTATCAAATTGTGGTCATGAAATTGTGATACATATTATTCTATTTACATGAGAAATCTAGATGTACTTATGTATCATTTTCTAAACTACGTATAATTGTAGTCAATATATAATGTGATTTTGCTAATGTTGAAATGATACACTCCATCTTATTATTTAAGATATGTATCAGCATTCTATATAACCATAATTATAGCATAATTACAGCACCATGATTTTACAATTAGCCCTTCATTCTACATTTGTATTCAACAACATATCAGATTCTACATTCAAGTATGTTTTTGAATATGTTTAAACCTTTACTATTTTCTCCAGTATTGTAGTTTGTACATGCAGTACACAAGTCCCAAAGGTCATAGGGTTTTCATACAATATGCACACAGTGGAAGTCCCTTGTGAATCCAGCCTTCTATTCCCTCCTAAGATAAGTGAGTGATAGTCAAAATCCCATAAGAATGCAGCATAGCACAGGAATCTGCATCCCTTCTAACATTTGGTAACTTCTTCCTTGTCCACTGAAGCAACACACTAGCACAGAATTCCATTCATGTCTTTCTTATCCTCTGTACAATCAGACAAACTGCCATGAAGCCGAAACCTCCTGGGCTGTGGTGATATATTGTCTACTTGTCATGCCAAGTTTAGGATCCATATGTATCGTGCATGCATTTCCATGCAGAACAGATTACCCTGCAAGGCCACATGCCATAATAATAACTTCCACCAACCCATAAAAATAGCAGGTTGAATTTTAAGCATTATGCTTGAAACAAGGTGTAACACAGTATGGTAATGCTTTATCAATTATAGTTTTTAATGTGGCTTCATTACTACTAGACTAGTACAATCTAATGTTTTCAGCAAAGCACACTGAGTCACTCCTAGTCGTCTAAATTGATAAATGTGCTGGGTTCTTTTCCATGCAGAGGTTTCCTGCCCAAGGCTTGCCCCTTACACACTTGGATAAACCCCAGCCTGTGTTACACAATCTCCAGCTGTCAGGGGCTGATTGGGCCTTCTAAGGGCCTAAAGCCTGACCTGTGGAAGGGCTGTTACAAGTGTGATTTAGTCAGGCTAGATTTACAGTAAATACAGACAGGGCTTTTTTTCTGCGTCCTGAACTGATGCAAGTAATATTGAAAATTACCTGCACCACTAAGAATTTAGGAAGCATGGATCATACTAAAAACTATTCATAGCGTAACAGTCCAAGCAGCAAATAAAAATCCAAATACACCTACATCTGTATCTAAAAAAGGTAGACATCAGAAATACCTGCACCGCTCCAATTTTACCTGTACTAAACCTGCATTTGCAGGTGGTATTTCAAGCCCTGAGGGGCATAGCTTGGTCCTGTATGTTTGCTTACACCATCGTTGATTCACAAACAACATAGCATTAAAAGCATTTGCATGTAACAATTCTAATCTCCCTCCATCACTCAGATATCAACCATGATAGCCTCGCTCCTCTCTTGAGTTCATGGGTTTAAACAGCCCATGTTGGCAGGTTGCCAGGCTATGTGTACACTGTGTACACTGACCAAACAGTATTTCTCTATTGCACACACAACTTGTCTGGACAAAGGTGAGGTCGGTAGAGTTACAGTCATTCATCACCGACAATCCAAGCACATTTCAGACTACACCCGGCTTTTCCAAGTACCGGCTACAAACAGAATAGAACATAATACGTGTTGAAAGGTTTATTGAAAAATGCCACAGATAATATAGGGGACAAAAAACATGAAATTTCTCACTGTTTACAATGTCAGTTGTTATATTACAAGTTCTGTTGTCTGCATGTTATTAAATTTAAAAGATCATTTGAGCTGTGCAGGTATTTTTTATGTCTACCCGCACCTTACCTGCATTGGTCCATGTTCTGGGTTTCAGGTGTATGTGGATTTTTATTTGCTGCACCGGCAGTTGGTAGTGTTACAACCTACGAAATAATGGTAATCGTTTCTGAACAGTTTTTAGTATGATCCATACTGGTCTCCCTAAATTCTGAGTGTTGCAGGTAAAATTTGTATGCAGGTAATTTCCAGTGTTACCTGCACTGGTGCAGGTATGCAGAAAATGCATTTTGATTCTGCACGGATTGTTGATAATCACTGCTACAAGGTAACCAAGATTAGAACAAGTATATATACTGGGTCAGCCAAGAAACAATTATGGTCAACTGTACTTCTAACATGACTACTGAAAATCCACTTGTGTTAGACGCAGGTCAATTTCTTTCACTTGGTTTTGTACAAAGTCCTTTGAAATTCGTTCAATCTTACATATTAACTGTTGCGTGGTCTCCAGACTGGAACTAATTTGTCTAGCCCTTCTCTATGGAAACATAACTGAATACTCACCGTCTTTCTAACATGCCTTTATCCTAAGAATTTAACCTCAACCATGGCTTAATTTGCATGCAGATTGCTTGTTAGGTCAGTTATGACAAAATTACAATTATTTTAGCCATTGGCACCATAGTTTCCATACATTTTTGTACATTTCTAGTCTGTACTGTTCTTTCAACAAAGATTAAAATGCCAGCAAGAACTGATCTTTACCATAATGGTACATCAAATGTCTCCTTGGCCCTATAATCTTGTCACAGTAATTTTAATTCTCTCAAGGAATATTACACCATTACTGGAATTTATCATGTTGTCTCATAGGGCATCAGGTGCTGAATGGGTGCTTGCCTCAAATGAGCAATTAAGGGAGACCCTCTAAGGACATTTAGATGGAATGATAAAGAAATAGGTCAGATACGGGAGAAACTTTGATTTAAATATCAAGAGATCATCTCAAATTAAAATAAATTTTTAAACATACAATAACACAAAATATCATAGATGCACATCAATGTTGTTACTAGTTACCATCTTTGCCTAATCTAATCGTTTGGATGTTTCACTTTTTTCCTTCAGTAAAATGTGCTTTTTGCTTGATGGTAGACATATGCATATTTACGCAGGTTCAACTTTGCTTATAAGGTCATTACGATTTCAAATTCAGGTCTTGGATTTGAAAATAATGCTGCATGAACTGTACTACTTGCCCCTTTGTGTTTCTAAATATAGCCATATGCAAGATTTTCCCCCAGCCCCCGTTTTTACTTGCTGTTTGGTTCCTTTTGTGCCTATTCCACAAGTAATTACAAAAAGATGATTTCCCTTTTGATCACCTCAGTGCGTCAGCAAATTTCAGCTAAAAGGTCACAAGAGCCCCAAGACATGATTTAATGTGGCTGACTGCATTACTTGTAAGCCTGGATACCATCTTATATTCACCGGCATATGTGTTCTGCTTCATGTGTTGCTTGGCAAGTTGGCACAATTGTTTTTAGATAGCAAATCTGATGTTTTAACAATCCAGTAGTAAGGATGATAGAATGTAGTGCGTTTATCTTTTTTTAATAAAATATAGTGTCTTATTACAGTTCCAGGATTCAAAATATTTTCTTGCGATGCAGGATTTTTTGGGGGATGAATAACAACTCTCAATGCTAAAAGAATACTGTCTCTGCATGATGAATTACATATTGTTCAACGGAAATAAAGTATTTATAATTGTTTAACAGTATGTAAAATATAATGTTGCACAGAAGCACAATTGTGTCGGTATTAGGAAATTAAAAACATGAATCGGTCTTTTGGGATCTGGCAAAGACCCAAACCACTTATGTACACAAGATAACTACTGGTAAGGCAAGGGTGAGATGGGTTGAGTGAGGAAGTCAGTACTGCTTTTTTCTCCAAGAAAATACTTTCTGTCATTCAAGACAAAGATAGGATGTCCCACCAGTTTAAATAATACTGAACAAGACGGTTTACTTGAAAACAGTTGAAAACACAGCCTGTACCTTCTAAGTTGGCACCCAGGGTATCTAGGGTTGATGATCAGTCTGATACAAGTGTTCCTCACAACTCAATGTTTGACTTTTGTCCTTTTGCCAAATTGCCAAATGTCCAAGAACAAAGGTATGATGTTGCTACTCTAGTAGGTTTGTTGGTGCATACTGTACATTTTTTAATATCTTTGGTTATTTTCACAATGTTGTAGTAACCTCTCTACAACAAATTCATTACACCACAGATATGCATTTACAATGTATAGCTGCTGTACTGAGTTGTTATGAAAACAATTTTACTTATAATGCAGCAATATTTTCTTTTAAAAGCTTCATTATCAAAATCAAGTCTATCAAGCTATCTTTGTTTCCAATACAGAACAGTGAGATAATTTCAGACATGCCATATTGTGGTCAGATTAATACTTATACATTAGTTAAGCATATTCAAACATCTGCTACCTTCTACCTTTGTTAATGATTAAAATGATAACTTCTCTGAAAGGGTAGCAGCTGGTAATTAAATTGCATGCCAAAAAAGGTTCCAGTTTTGCAATACCACCTACGCACCTACCATCTTGTATTGACACAAAGCTGTTCAGTTCTCTTGATATTTTTGAATCTTCTAAATGTAATGGTTGAGAGAGACTATAATTTGGCTATACAAGGAATTTGGATAAAAACTTCCTGCAAGGCTGGAAATACCACCCGCACATATACTGGTTAGTGCAGGTAAAATTGGGGTTGTGCAGGTATTTCTGATACCTAACCTGTACTGGACCATGTACTGGGTTTATACATGTATGTACATGTAGGTGTTTGTGGATTTTTATTTGCTGTATTGACCACTACCATTTATGTAGTATGAAAATACTAAATAATGGCAATCTTTTCTGAAAAGTTTTTAGTATGATCCATACTTCCAAAATTCTGAGTGGTGCAGGTAAAATTTACCTGCACCTGTGCAGGTATGCGGAAAAAAGTATTTCATGCCCTGGGCATGTCTTTTCACAAACAGAAAAATGAAATGTGGTGGACTAATATTACACGTAGTAGTTTCCAGACAATCCATATTGCTGAAGTCTAAATAGTCTATCACAATGCCGAGCAGCTAACTGTGTGAAACAAGTCTACATTTTCAAGGCCAAAATCTGTATCTGTATAGCTGGTGTACCCGCCCTTTGGTGTAACACACCAGCTAAAATACTTAATGAAACATAATCAGCCTACATAACCTTTACCAGCTGTAAGAATTTGTTTTACTAAAAACCTGAAACCTGTGTGTTTATTTGGATCTCCCAAGTCCCACCTAGATTTGCAATTCTCTTAGTACAAGACCAGAAAGCTAATGATATGGAAGATAGCCTAATATACTATGATCCCCATTTGTCCCAGTGCGTTTATGTAACATGTAACAAAGGAGTTGACGTGTGTGTCTCCTTTAAATGCCACGACTCATTAATGTCCATGCAATCTAAATTGGATTCTGTCTTCGGCCCCGCATTTAATTGAATTCCTTTCACCCATATTGTAAAGCTAATATAACTGACCTAATTTTCAACTGTAATGCATGTTCATGACTGTCCACGATACCTTTTCGTGCGTCACTTTGCAGAAATGAATTGGACGTTAGTGGACGGTTTTCTTCAATGATGTGCATCGTAGCACAGAAATGCAGGTGTTCTGCCTTACTTCCGACCCCACCTGTAGAAACCCAAGCCCTGGCCATCTTCACCCCAACTTGTTCGGGTGCTACTTGACACCTGGGTACTCAGGAGGACCCTTTGTTTGTCACCTGTGTGGAAAGCCGGCTCTGTTTGTGTAGGGAGAGCCTCCACTCTCACAACCTCACCTTAACCTTAACAACTCCACATCTATCTACCTGCAGTTGGGCGGCGGGTCCAGCGTGATTTCTGCCAGCTCTTTCTGGATCCTGCACAAAACAATGCCAGGAACAGGTGAGAGTTACCCAGAGGGAAATATCCCTGCCCCCAAAACAACTGGAGACGCGATAAAATAAACCATGAGAAGAAGCTGACAAAGGAAGGCGACATAATCACTGTGCAAAGTACACACACAAGATGGCCGCCTCAGCTGACCCTCCCGTTATTTCATGCACCACCATACTCCCTTTCCCGCCCTTAAACACCACCAATTCCACATCCACGTCAAACTAGACTTTCCAACCAACAAGATGGTATAAATCGGGCCGACTTCCCCCACTTCTGTGTCCAACAGTACAAGGTTTTAGCTTATATGCAAATGAGCTGATTGGCAGTATTACAAGGAGAGGCTGGCATGATTAATCGTGATAGAAAATGCAGCGTCGCTATGTTATTAATGCCGAATTGATCTGGTACCTCTTAGCGCTGGTGGACAGCGCCTTGGTGGACTTGAGCAGCTTAAGGTTGTTGTCTCTCTGGTCCTTGGGCCTTCGGGAAGAGTTGGAGGAAGAACTTGAAGACGTCCCGGCTTGCTCGGCTGCAGACATCTTCAACAGAGATCGGCTTTCCCGGGGACACGTCTCTGGACGATCGATTACCAAAATACGGTATCAACCCGATCCAACTACGTCTGGTGCACCCAAGGTCAATGGTTCGAATCCCACCGAGCGAGTCTGTGGTGAACTATCTCCGCGATGCCGGGAGATTCAATCTGGTGGTCACGGGTTCTATTCCTGAAGGAAATGATCACACATCCGCTATTTAGTTACCATCCCCCATGTGTCAGCCCCGGGAAACCTTCCCTTTAAAATTAGGCATTTAAAAATTAAAAACCCAAACACTGCTGTCAACACCTTTCTAACAAAGAACATGAGTTTGTGAACGTGGCTAAGATGAAGGATCTTGTTTGATTACTACTTGGATAGAATTTGATAAGAGGTTAACGTTACTTTCAATAGCAAAATGCCTCATCAAAAAGCACAGAAGCCAATCGACCGGCTTAAGACAATCACTTCTAGTCGTCTTTTCGTGACAAAAGGCGGGAAGATCTCACCGTTTCCTGGGACTAAGAGAGCGAGGGAAGGCCTTGGGCTACCACTTGTCCACGATTTGGGCGAAATAAAGCCGAGAAATTCCGAATTTCGGCGGACAGAAGCCCAACAACCCGCGTGTCTTGTTGCCAGCGCCGGCTGTTCTATCACCCTCCCTCCGGAACTATCACAATTAGGCGGAAACGAGCCATTCGCTTTCTTTGTTCTCCGTCTCTCTAAAAATCCACCCAAACCTCGCCACATGTAATCTAGCCTTTACTTTCAGATCAGAACACTGTCTAGTCAGTAAAGGGAACGGGTAAAATGTTGGCAAATGTTTCAGGAAAGTCGAGTAAATCTTTTGATAGTGGATTTAGGGAGGGAGAGCAAATAGGGAAACTGCTAATGTACTCTGGGAATTAGCTGATAATGCCCTGGCGACTGTGATACGCAGGGGTTTTTATAAGCAAGCCAGAAATAAAGGGTTTGGGTCCTTCTGCGATAAATTGCAATAATTAGGGGAATATCTAGATACAGAGTTCCATGCCGGGAGGGCGAGCGAAGAAATGAATAGCCATGCTAGCAAAATTTGCGACACAGACTGAGAAAAAAAATCCTAAATCCCAAATGATCCCAATCGACATTACACCACAATAATTTCTTCTTTAGACGTAAATTACTATAACCCGCATTTTCGGTTATATTTCCCGCATTTTGGGACGAGTTGAAATGACGAAAAAAAATATTTTATCTTCCCTGCAACCTGTTGTGCAGCACAACACTTGATTGACATGTCATTGGTTACGTGGTATGCCACGAATTTTTACTGAACTCTCTTCATGATACCAGAGACAATATGTAGAAATTATATAACATATAGAGGCGCTATAAACTGATGTCTACTATTTGAATTTGATAGTCAACAACCTGGAGTGGCAATCACAAAAATTGTGAAGTGTAGATATTAACGTTAGCCAAAGTTGTACGTAATTTTGGGAGTTCAAATAAAATGTTGGTGCTTTGGGAACACTGAATAACACTGTTCTTGCAAGAAAGACCCCTTAGAACGCTGGGCTGACTGTTCAGAGTCCCTAGATAGTCATTAAAATCATTACGGTCGTTATTTTTAGATCTCAAGTCTTTCAAGTAGGGGCTTTTTCAATAATCATCCCAAGGGGTGTGACTTGGGTTTTCAGTATCTTGTAATTTGGTTTTTCAGTATACCAGTACCTCCTTGTATCAAACTCCTTACCAGTTCCATGTTTTCAGTTGCAAAACTTATAACTTTTTCATTGCCATGCAGGGAAAATGCCTCCTCCCCCTGTCAGGTTGGTAATGGAATGTCCCTAATGTTTCCATGGAGATTATAAAATGTAGATGACATTTAGCCTTATGTATTGTAAGGCTTAAGGGAAAATCTCCACATATCCTGTGAACATAATTGATTTGCAGCATTTTGCCACCCCTCTACCATAGTTAATGGTCAGTCCCTAATGTACTGATGAATCTTTGTATAGAGGACTGTGGTAATAGCTTATTTTATTGTTATTGCAGGTTGATGATGACACAGATGGAAAATAATGATTCTATAATAAGATTACAGTAACTATTTTCTTCTTAATTTTTTGTTCCCAAGATGAAAATTTTGGTGCTATGGCTAGAATCAAAGTATAAATTCTACTATTTTTTCTTCATTTTTTACTATAGCATTATACAGTACTAACCTGAATATATGTACACAAATGTCATATGTTGCCACTGCACAAGATGCTTGCTCATATAAACTTGATAATGCCTGAGTGAATAACCCTAGCTGGTGTGTTACGCCGAAAGGCGGTTATATCTGCTATACAGATACAGAATGTGTATGGCAAGACCTTCCAACCTAAAGATGTCAGAAGAAATTTTCCAGTAATCTTGCTGTAGTGTAGCCTTGTGGTCATAGTGTAAGGATACCCTGTACCCTTATGTATATTGATCCCTTTGAAGTGCTACACACAACATCTATACACATACAAATCTACCCAACAACTGCTAATAATGCAGTTCAATACAATGTCCTGTGCCAGCTTGTAAGCAATTGCATTTTCTATATTTGTTGAAATAGATGATAACAATTAAGCTGCAGGTGACTAAGGAACACATGGGCATACATACAGGGAAATGTGCATCACCAACATTATTGATGGTGAGTTTACAATCACATCTAGCTTACATCACACCACAAGGCTATTCCCATACACAGACTTGTAACATATGGTATACATTTTATAAGGGTCTTGTGGTTGCCAGCCCTATTGAATTGTGCAGCATATTCTTTTTATTATACACTAAAGTTTATGAAATATACAATGTAGCTTAGAATACATTGTATGCAAGGAGTTTTAAAGCAAATGAAAAGCTTATTGTGTACATGCTTCCATAATTAATTCAATAATTGAATAATTCCAAGAAAAATATACCATCACTTTCAAAAACATGTATATAGTCCCCATTTAGTTTTCGTGTGTTTTGCAGCTAAATCATATTACATGACACATTACATAATATCACTGATACTAATTAAGTCTATTTCTTACTTATGGGTCCATCTTGCATGAGAAGACAGTATGATACCAATTTCTACTAGGCTCATTTGGCTGCTGAATGATAGTGGAAATGGGCCAAATTGGGTGAACAATTTGGAGTTATAGCCTGCGCCAAAGAGGGACAATGTGCCAACACTATCCAGCCAATTTGCAGTATTATTTCACCGTCCCCGGGTTTTGATTGATGCTAATTTCATGCGAGCCCCTTTGATGCATTACGGTTAACCCCTCGTCACCGGATTAGCCTCTCCGCAGCCATCCACCGCGAAGATGTGGTTGTGCGGACCGCAGATTTGCGTGACCTCTAGCGTGACCTTCTAAGCCAGAACTGTATAATGTCCATCGGCCTGAATGTGCAGGAAGGGAAAAATCAATAGGCTCTGCCCTCTATGATAGGATCACAGACTCCATTATATCTAAGACTGATGCCGCCGCACACAAGTGTTCCAATTCTGCTTCCTACAGGAAATTGTTCCTTGGGTAGTCTTTCAGGGAATGATTGCGGACTTAGTCCATTTTTAGTGTCAGGTGCAGAGGAAAGCTCCCACTGGACTGTTTGCTTCAATTCTATGTATACTCCCTTGGCAGAGGGAATTTGAATTCTTGTTTTGGGTGATCTTTAGCAATATTGAGGTTTGGAAATTGTAAAAAATTACTTTTGGTGGTCCTATGAATTATTTTTCCAATTGACCCAAGTAGTAAGACCAATAAACCTGTCTATAATGTACCATGGAAAACCCAGGGTTGCCAGAGGAGTACACTGGTATTGAACATAAATGTTTAACCATTTAGTAGTATAAATTTACCAGTACTGGTACAAATGTACATTCACCTGTCCATATTTCAATCTCAAAATTCAAATTCCTGAGAAAAACCTACACTTATTTGGCTGTTCCTTTTCATATGTTGGATAGGGGACAGGATAAGAAAATAAAGACAGATGTGAGCTTGGAAAAATTGGAGCCAGAACGCCTTTATCAACAACTACTTTACCATATTAGCATTTGTATGCTAAACGTTAGTTTTATTAAGGTCCGCACGGTGGCGCTTTTTCTCCGTAGTGACCGTCGTAGCATCATTTCTCGTTACCTCCATGGATACACAAGCTGTATGATTTGACCAAATGTTGTAGAGAGTGACCTGAGAGACCAGAGGCAGAATAGGCCTGTCGGAGTGGATTAAAAAAACACAACTTCATTCTCCCACCGAAAGGCGTTTTTACGGGCGTTTTTTTATTGGATCAATGCGTCAAGAATTATGTTCCCAAGGGTCGTTCCATCTTGTGACTGTGTCGGGGGTGGTCAGGTCAACTCAATCTAGAGATCGCGATCTCTAGCGATTTTACCTGATCGGAGTCTGTACCCTGACGTATCATGGTAATACGTGTACACTGCATATAGCAAGATCGTTTACCTAAGCTAAGGCTGTATAGTACGCAATTAAGAAAGCACAGACATTCTCATATCTAATTCGTTTATTTCAACTTCGGGGGAGCAAACTTACGTATTGAAATTTAAAATCGATGTAGAAGAACGTAATTTTCAATACAATAGTTTGAACAAAATACACGTATAAAAGAAAAAAAAAAGAAATATAAACCAGACATGAATCGACTCTACGTCCCTGGAAAATTTGGAAATTCGTGAACCAGTCGGAGAAGAGAAGTCATGGTTACATGTACTTAAATCATAATCAGTAAATCGTTCTTGTTCTGCTAAATATATCATAGCAACGTTCAACCTCATCATATAAAAAGGTTATCAAATTATAATCGTATCTGTAATCAGTACATTTGTAGTAGGTAGATATAGTTAATATATACTATACAATAGTCTCATTTACAACACTTAGCTTACTTGTTGCAAATCATGAGTCGATAACGCCACAAATGACACTCAAGAGGCACTCAAAGACCAGCAAATAAACCAGCTATCAAATGCAAACAAAAGACCACATTGTACTTTTGTGACAAAAAATTATGTGCGTTAATTATCATACTTAACACAGAAGGTCATCTTCGCTAAATTGCCGATTTCTCAAGTTGGTTGACAAGGATATGATTGAAATTATTTACTCATATTTACAAGTGTGCAAACATCTTCGGAACTCATTCAAGCATAAAACACACAAACATTTACGTAATTTTCTAATTCAAAAGTTTTGAAATTAAGTTTAAGGTAACTTCTTGAATGGGAGTTTGAGTTATTATAAAAACAGAGAAAAATACATGTAATCATATTTTTTCCGATAGCAAACATGATTGTTTGAGGTTACGCAGATTTCTCATGAACAAGTCCAAGGTGAGAAAGTTTCCATCTATGAGAACGCATATATGGTTTTTGGGATGTTCCATCCAGTGATTGAGAAGGTACATAGTGTTTTTGACCCCCTGAAAAGTGAGTAACCGGTTGGCGCTATGGCGGCGGCGGTGGAAGGTAGTCATTGACGCTGACCCGAACACCTTCCTTTTTGGGGGCCCCGTTTTTATCGCCGGTCCCGCCATGACTTTTCAGTTTGGCGGCTTTGATCGCTGCCAGGAAACTACTGGTACTTTCGGGCTCGTCATCTTCGGGAGAAGCGAGCGGGGCCACTGCGTCGGCCTTCTGATTGGTTGACACCTGTGACGGAGGAGGAATCGGAGAAGCTTTCTGATTGGCTGACACCTGTGATGGAGGGGGGATCGGAGAAGCGTTCTGATTGGTCGTTGTCGTGGATGCTGCGGAGGAGGCTGTACCATTAGCCGGAGGGAGCTTGGGTTTCGCTGGAGGAGGGGGCGGGGCGTGCTTGGGACGAGTCAGAAGAGAACTGTTGCGATTTAAGGCGAGTTTTGGCGAGCTCTTTCCCCCTGACGGCAAGGTCTTGTACTTTGCACTTGTGGATGGGGATGCGGCACGACCGAATGTGGAATTTGAGGATATTCTCTCTAACGTCCGAGCTCCGAAAGTCCGCCCGCCGTCGTCTACTCTTTCGTACACGTTTTCGTCGTCGTCGACTTTTCCCTTGGAAGGGCTTCGTCCCTTCCTGAGCTTGGAGTACATGTCCTCCACGACCTGGTCGGTCTGCGCGTCCTCGTCGTTAATGTCAGGTGGGAGGTTCAACTCTTCCGCTTGTTTAGCTCGGAATTTATCCAAGTCTACCACTCCAGACAGGCGGCCTACTGACGTTGAGGGGGTCAGAATCAAGCCGTGTCCTAACCTGTCCAGGGAGTTGTAGTTGACTTTAGGGAATTTCTTCATCTCCACCTTGGTTCGTCTGACGTATTTGGGGCCGTCCACTTTTGGTCGCTCTTCCGTGGGTGGTTTCTTTGCGGTCATGGCGAAGACGCGTTGTTTGGCTGCGGTCTCTAGTCTGATGTCAGCTTGCTGGAAAGTGTCCAAGAAGAATTGAAGTTATTTCAGCGAAGACTAATTCAAACGTTACTTATGTCGGAAACAAGAATTCGGAAACAACATCAGCTGTCAAGGAGGTCATGTAATAAAATAACACTTGTGAAAGACGTGGTTAATGATTGTTTTCCTCAAGGACAAACGAGACCAAACACAATGCTTTGGATTTTTCATGGAGGTAAAAAAGCGTTCAACGTTGAACGTGATACCCACTGACACATATGACCTTTTTTTACGTTTTTCTTGTATTGTACGTACCGCATCTAACTGTCCTATGTCAGCGCCCAGCTTCTTGACGGTGTCGTTCTGGTTGTCCAGCACGTTGACGAGTGTTTGAGCCAGCAGGTTGATTCGGTAGGCCACGTCCGTCAGGGCCCGGGCCGCCGACTGTCGTGACGAGTCAAACGCCTGGGCGCGGGCATGGGGAGTCCGGGCCTGCGAGCAGGAACAATCAGCGTTAGTTTTTCAGTTGAGATGAAGGCGATGGTGGTCTGCACTCTTCAGTTACCTCGGAATATATATGAATGGCTGAATTACAAATTAAAACCTTTATTGTACATATATGCCCACCGAGTTAAGTACAGGTCACAAAAAGAGGAATAGTTTGTATATACATGTATACCTACACACGGATAAATCTAGCACTAGCACTGTAGTCTATTAAAGTAAATTCGCCTTTTTCTCGCTTCTCTGCGATGGTGAAAATGTAAGAATAGACTTGTTTTAGGATCAGAGGTATAAAACTGGTTTGTTTTGCAAGATCTCTGCGTTTTGTACGTTCACATGTTTTTCCCTGCCTTTTTTTTTTGACGGTAACGTGTAAGAAAATGCACGTATATTCCCTCCTAACTTCTGCTTATAGATAACCCATAACATTCTTTAGGTTACATGTCAATGTTGCTAGTAGTTCAGTGGATGACTAACTAGTGACGCCAACACCGCATACTTTTGGCGCCGCGAAGACCACACGTCGCTTCCGCATTCTTAGACTGTTGGTTTCGTCTAAAGGTCAGCATTTCGGGATATTTCATTGCTGTCTTAGAGTGGAGTAGAAATGTATAAAAACTACCATTTTGGTGTGTAGTAAGTTACAATAGAACTTATATATGTGTAATATATATAAGTAAACGTATAGGACTTTAAGAACATGGACTGCATCATTAACAAAGAACGGAATTTCGACCTCTTTTAGAAACGTACACCATGAGAATATCCAGCTAATGGAAAATCTATCTCTACAATTTGGATCTGTCATTATAACGAATACCATACCCCTCTAGGTCTGAGTCCTGTGTGTATTTTCCTCATGTTTTTGATTAGGGACATTCCAACAAAAATTCCATTTTCTGGTGCTGGAAGGTGCTTTTAGTTCAATGTAGAAGAGGCAAAATCCACAATAATATTCCACTACAGCCTTTCATGATTTGTCCATATAAAAGAACCCTTTTTTTCTGGTCCAGTCTACTTAAGCTAAGGTCCCAATTACGCCGGTGCCCGTCGGGGATGTAGCCCCGGCTGGCCCCGGCCGGGTTCAGGAGTCGAGCGGGCATCGGCTATCGTGGTCACAATTAAAAGTTTCCTTCAGTAGTATTTTGTTAGAAATTTTGTCATCCTCTTTGGTCGGTATCCGGCAGGCACCCGGCAGGTACCCAGCAGATTCTCTGACGATGTCTTGTTTTGACCTATACGTAATGCAGAATTCACGTATTTGTTGTGATCATTTGATCTGTGAGGTCACATATTTTAATCAAGTAATCCCCCGCGTAAGTAGAGACGGCGTAAACCAATCAATGTAGCACAGGTGAATCCAGACAGGTGGTAATTAGGGATGCCACGTAAGCAGGGGAAAGTAATAAAGGGGAGAACACAGGAGAACACAAGGAACTAGTCACACGTTCGGAACCAGGACACGACGCCGGAGGGATGGCCCAGCGTCCACGTCGATACGAACCCACTTGGCCCACGTGCCGCGAGAACAGCCCCAGTCGCCTGCCCCGCCGATCGCCGACGGCCCCGCCTCAGCCGCCGCCACAGGGAGCGCAAGCCCTGCCGCCGAAGGCCCCAGTTCCGACTCGCTCCCTGGTCCCGCAACAGCCAGGCGACCATGTCAGCCAACGGGGGCTCCGCGACAGGCACCACCATCGGAGGCACTACATGCACCATGTACCGATGGTATTTTACCCAACAACTGTTATGTGATGGTGCTTAGTCTCTCGTCAGCTATGTCCCCTTGTACATATATTGTAGTATTGTTACCGCCTTTCGCTTAGGTATGTGGCTCGGTTCGTACTGGCAATGGACGGAATTTGACATTGTAATGTGGAATTTGGACACGTCATTAGTAATGGAGGACTTGGAGTCCGGTACTGTGGAATGGATGGAATTTGGCCACGTAATTGGTAATGGAGGACTTGGAGTCCGGTACTGTGGAATGGACGGAATTTGGCCACGGAATTGGTAATGGAGGACTTGGAGTCCGGTACTATGGAATGAAAGGAATTTGGCCACGTCATTAGTAATGGAGGACTTGGAGTCCGGTATTGGGGAATGGATGGAATTGGTACGCGTATGAAACCCACGTTTGAAACGTCGATTTTTGAACCCGGTTGCTACCTCGAACGATATTGATAAAGACGATAGGAACACATCTAAGCCAAGTCATACTGCCACATACCCACATGGTATTGCCTTACATTTATTTTATTGTATTGTATGGCGTGAGGTCAACGCCTTTCCGTGGTGAATCGGAAAGGGAAGACAGAAATCGCAACCGGACGTAAAGAAAGAATAATAATAATACAATAAGAAGCACTGTCAGTCAACATCTAAAGCTTCTATTAAACGAGGTAGTCATGCACTCTGGCGACCAGGTCATTCCTGAGCCTCAGTACCTGGGGTGCTGACACGCCTCCTCTACAGGGTTTAATGGTTAATACTAACTCTAGCGGTCCACATGGACATACACGTTCGGACGTCTATGGACGTCATTACTTTCGTCACCAGTTCGTGCTACCGCCGTAGGAGATAGGGGTAAGGGACTAAAACCAGCCTCCCAACACATCTCCCAACTACCTAATGGAGGGGAGGCGCGTCAGCGCTGTAGGTCCCGTTCCAGAGGGACGAACGCATAGGGGAACAGTTAATAATGTTGTGGTCCAATGCTGAAAACGACCAAATACTTACGCTTGGGAGTACTAGTATCATGAAGATAAGGTTTGGGAATCCAGGAAAGTTGGGGAAGCAAAGATAAGCCTGGGAGCAAGAATAAGGATGGAAGGATAAGGTTTGGGTAGTAAGGATAAGGTTTGGGTAGTAAGGATAAGGTTTGGGGAGTATTAAAGAATAAGGTTTGAGGAAAAGGGAGGAGGTGGGAAGGAGGTGAAGGGGACGCCAGGAACACGGAAGGATAGATGTGAAGAGGAAGACTCCTTCGGTGCAGAAACGTCCCACTTCCACCCGATATCAATCCCCATACCTAACATGTGAGACGTTTCTACACAATAGCGGAGGGATACTTGATTGAGATAGAGCCACATTTTACCCGGGTTTACGAAGTACACACCTTTATTCTGTTCATCTGGTCTGTGACGTAAGAAATGTGTCCCGGTGGAATGCCGGTAACCGAAGGGGTACCTCTCGGTGTTCTCATGATGAGGTCACGGCGTCTTTTTGTCAGCGGGGCCCGGGTAGAATTTAACTCAGAATTAAATTCTTATCGGGGCCCCGACGGGCCAAAAAATAGCCCGGTAGCCGCAGGGTGTCCCGCGGGGCCACGTCGGGGTCCCGCCCGAAAGTGGGAAAAAACAGCCCGGGAACTACCCGCCAGGGCCCCTTTTCCCAATTGGGACCTTAGCTTAGCGAGCGATGTTTTGTTGGTCTTTCACCATCGCATTCCAATCATTCAAGAAATATAGGGATATCTGCTTTGATCCGTTTTCATCCCCTCTAAGCCTACTCTCCACGCGAGTACGGGCATTTCAAAGCGGCCCAATCGTAACCCTCGTTATAAACCTCGTGCCGGTTCCGTAAATAGAACGTTCAAACCCGTTGGACAAGTGGTTAATTAAGATGTGCAGACAAAATTCCTCAACGTGCATATCCTTTCTAGTTCTTCCTAAGTTCTTGGGCCCCGTGAACATTTCGTATATACCCAAACAAAAGTCTTTACAGAATGAAGCAATCCTTTACGGCACGGTTTCCATGTTTTATTTAGTGTTTGCTGGTCGTATATAAATAACTCTCACAAGTACCGTATAACACATGCCACCTGTACAGGCGTGCGTGGGGACAAAGTCCGGAACCTTCCCCTTTTCTCACTTTCACAATTACAAAAGGCGGTAAGACAAGTTGATTTTCCTGTATTTACAAGTCTACACCCCAAGCGGGATTTCCCCTATAACCTAATTGTTATACTTCAGTAGGTGACAGTCATTTGACAACTAGGAAGTTACGCAACGAAACCTTAAGGTGTTCCCCACGGTCACCTTTTGGGGCCCCCCGAGGCACGGAGCGTGACTCAAGGTGTATGTAACCATTGGGCCCCGCCACCCGGAAGTAACACGAACAACTCAAAAGGGGGGAAGAACAAGGAAGTCTGTGCAACAACACGCACTGGCAAACAAGACAAGGAAAAGACAGACAAATATTTTGTAGATCGATGTAGGCCACACCCGTAAAACAGGCTTGTAAATGTGTAAAACTTCTATGGACACGCCCTGATGCCGCCAGATATTCGGCATGCAAGGACTCGTGCCAACATAATAGGAAGAACAGAGCTACACATTTTAACACGTACATATTCTCTCACAAGATCTAAAGCATTGGGAATCTGTTAAATTGTGCATTTTGTCTGAGGTTTTATGTATTGATACGCTATTATAGTTGACTTAAACTAAAAGGGAAAGGAATTCAAGCTTGTTTGCTTTCAGTATATTGTAGGAAGTTTAAGGGACCTAGACATGCACTCACGTCATCCCCTATAGATATTTCTCGTTAAGGTCTCACCCGAAATAAACTCACCTGGACGTAGTTTGTCTCACAATCGGCCGCCAACTTCTCCAAAGTTTCGCCATACTCCTTGAGGCGCACTTTCTCCCTGACGAAGTTGTCCAGGCTGGCGTCCATCTTGTTTCAGACGACACTTTGGACCCTGGCACCGCGGGACGTACCACCTACGCGTCGGACAGGGGGGCGGAAAGGTGAGTTCAGGTCATCGCCCCTGCGCTATTTTAGTGTGTACGTATACAGGACATATGTAGTATTAAAGCAGGATCTTTTTCAGACAATCTGACTCATATTGCATCAGATGATTACCACGCGAATCCATGAGAATGATATGATAACACCTTTTACTCTCTACTCTCTCACCTTGAAAAATGATATCTGAGGGCATCACTGGGGTCACATTTTACCGGCATATTTCGGCTTCTTTATACGATACCGGAAAAGGTTAGAGGTCACAGTGTGACAGCAGGAATTCGTAATAAGTCGTTTCAGTTACACACAAGAATCCAAATGTTTACTGCAGACGGAAAACAAACTATGCGCGAGTGAAATCCACTTCTCATCTTGTCGCACAGAACTAGGATTAAAGTTCCTTCAGGCTCAGCCTATCTTCTATCGTTATCTTAGCTGCGTCCTTGGTCCAATCAGGGGGGTTTACAAAATCACTTGAACTAGGATTAAAGTTCTTTGAACGGGCTTGACCAATCTTTTATCGTTACTTTTGGCTGTGTCCTTGGTCCAATAACAAGAGACAGTCGGAGAAAGCGTCTTTGCAAAAAACGTTTCACAAATGTCAAGCAAAGGAGACGTTCTTTTCACCAGAGAAAGTGTTTAGTTTCCGGCTCTCGTAGTTTGAGTTATTCATCACACACAAACACGAAGCCGGGAGAATGATTGGCCCTGTGTTTGGAAGTCTTTGTGCTCTGTCTAAAACGGAAACCACTTGGAGGAAACCTCTGTTATACGATGGAAGGTTACGTCTCCAGCTGAAGCCATCTCTTTTTATCGAAAAGACAAACCGTTCCCACAAATACACATCGTTTGTTCCACCTACGCTTTTTTTAAAAATGAAAGCAACTTGAAGAATGACTGGTGAGGTCATCATGTTTAGAACGCCTTTTCAAGGGTTTTCATTAAAATTCCATGTAAAACAACATAAGAAACCGTTTTCTACCTGAAGTAGTAGAAAGAGTGACAGATTTGAGTTGTTTTCCTCACTACTCTAGGTCTGTTAGTTATAGCACACACACGCGCGCGCGCACGCACGCACGCACTCACACGCACGCTGCACGCATACACGCACGCACGCACGCATGAATGCAGCTTCGCAGCAAGGTCAAACACTTCAAGGTTAATTGGTGACAGATGTAATGTTACTTGAAATAGCGGCATTGGTATTAAATAGAACCGTCCATTGTATTCCACGAAAAATGAACCGTCCCTGATTACAAATCGCCCAGCAGACACTTTGTATGGCTCTGCCATACTGCGGTTTAGTATGCGGCTAGAAACATGCATAGACCAGCTGCGTTTTGGGACGTTTTCAAAAGTTCAATGTTGAATCGCCACTTATTCTCGGAAACAAACTTCGCAAATGCAAGGAGGTTTAAAATTAAAATGTAACTGTTTCAATTGATGAATGACCAAGAATTTCAAGGACTTATTATCAAATACTTTTCGTACCTCCATGACTTGTTCATTGAAAATGTCATTCATATAGTTAAGAGCCAGTATGCCAGTAAGTCCTATTTTTAGAATTTTAAAATCGTGAAGAAATCCCTTCTCTGACATGCATGTTGTAACACAGTACAGTGAGCCATAGACAAGGCGCTCTGCTAAAGTGTATTATTGTGGAGTTAGGCAAAACGTTAGATTCAGTCGGGATTCCAGAAGCGCTTATGAAGCACAAAAATAGCCCATGCTACTAGAACACAGAGGTAACTCAGAACGTTGGCAATGCACACCACATGGTAGCATTTGGCACAGCATCATATGTACAATTCAAGTGTCCTTTCTGTTACTTGTAGACGTGTACAGGGGTGCCAAAGAATTTATCAGAATTTTACGGAATTCATACGATCCTTACTAGGAAACATACGAAGTTTACGGAATATATAGAATCCTTACTAGAGAAACATACGAAGTTTACGGAATGCATACGATCCTTACTAGAAACATACGAATTTTACGGAATACATACGATCAATTACTAGAAACATACGAAGTTTACGGAAAGCATACGATCCATTACTAGAAACATACTTAGTTTACGGAATACATACGATCCATTACGCGGAATACATAGGATCCTTACTAATTTGGTGACTTGCACCACGATCACGTTCATTAGCATTTGGGACGTGCCATTCGACAACGTAGTAGTGAACGCCCTAAACCGGTACCAGAAATTGTGCAAATTTGAGAGACAACAACAAAATGATGATTATTAAATGTATTTAGAAATGGACTTTTTTTTCTTTATTCATATCTTTATGTCATCTGTATTGGAATCTTTTCCCGAGGAAATAAGTTGAGTGTGCAGTTTTGTACCCCCCCCACTTAAAAATCACACGTGGTACAGTCTGCTGTTTCTGCTGTGCGGGGATGTTGTGTGTTTCGGGCCTCCGAATTGCTGAAGTTTGTCAACTTTTTTGGGGTAAATTTCCAGTTTCTTTCTCTCAGAATGTTTCCGTTAACATATTCGGGGAACCTTCTGGACATTTTCACGGGGAATTTGTGCCGTCCTTTGGATGTTTGAGGGAGAAAATGCAGCGCATTTTACCGACCTGGTGAATTTGCGAGACAGCAAAATGGCCGGCGGTCGTCTGACTTTTGAAAGGACTACCTGTTGTGAGACTCAAGACAAGTTCCTACAAGGTAAGGCAACAATGCACCTCGTTGAACTTACTTCTTCCAACAAAGTAATTACAGGACGCCGCGTTATATTTGGTGTATATTGATGTGATATGTTGGAAAAATGCGCACTACTTTCCAACAAAACTGTATCGGCTAGGCTAGGTTTAGTCACCAGGTTTTCTTGACCATTTTTGCTCTGTTTGTTGCCCTTTCTGCAATTTTATGTCTCCGCAGTATCTTACAAGAGTCATGGATGTGTTTCTTATATGTCTAGAAGCATTAAAAACAAAATGCGAGGTAGTTTTGTCGGAAAAATTAAGTTGTAAAATGTTGTATTTTCTTCACCACGTGGTGGCCAGACGGTCTCACCACCTGTTTGTGATTTGTCGCACGTGCGCATAATTAGCCTCATTCAATGTTCCCGCCAAAAAGTCGCGTAAACAAGGTTTAATTAAATTATTCTTTGGGCATTCCTGGAGTTCATCATTGTTCTTTCCAGTTTCTTTCTAGAAAATATTCATTGAACATATGCAGTAAAGCTTGGAGATATTTCCGCCGTGAATTCATGGCCCGTATTTATTAAAGGAAAATGCGTGAGCATGATTTAATTAATTAGGCCGTGTTGATTTGATCATATGAGTGACATCCGCGCGCGCATGATGAATTTTTGTCTGTTTCCAAAAAGTTTTAGACCATACTGTAAATCGTGCAAAGTAGCTGTAAAATGGGCAAATATATGCCATAAATTGAAAAGAAACATTGGAAAACAATACTTTATTAATAGTCGCAGAATCTATTCCAAAGGAGAAGAGGAAAATGTGAAGGAACGAAAATAAGTCTATTATTCACAATGCCAATAAAAATTTGTTCAACCCTCATGACCACCTAGATTTCATAATGAAGGCAATTTTTTGGCATTGCACTAATTATCTGTTCATATAATAGTTAGGTGTGTCCTGATGTTCCTGTCCTGACTGGGAGAAACCTGTGATGACAGACATCTTTGGTCCACACCAGAGCAGATGAGGTTCAGCTGTCCTGAAGGGTGACGTCTGTCCAAACCAGTTGACTTGAAGACACAGTGAAGTGAACACTTTATACAGGTGAGACATTTTGCTTTACAACTAAACATTGTTACTTTCTTTGGTGTGTTACGAACTCCAAGGTATGACACGCTGCCAGTAAAATATCTAAAAAAAGAATTTTTCTTTTACCATCATTCAGTGTTGCCTGGAAACATATTTTGACATCACTAATTTATAATATCTACTCATATAGTTAAGTGTGTCCTGATGTTCCTGTCCTGACTGGGAAACCTGTGATGACGGACATCTTTGGTCCACACCAGAGCAGATGAGGTTCAGCTGTCCTGAAGGGTGTCGTCTGTCCAAACCAGTTGACTTGAAGACACAGTGAAGTGAAGAAGGCTTTGTACAGGTGAGACATTGTGCTTTACATCTTATCATTGTTACTTTCTTTGGTGTGTAATGTTGTGTGGCATGCTGCCAGTAACATCTTAAAAAGATACTCTTAATTTTCTTTTACCATCATTCATAGTTGCCAGGAAACATATTTTGGCATGTAACTAATCATCTGCTCATATAGTTAGGTGTGTCCTGATGTTCCTGTCCTGACTGGGAGAAACCAGTGATGACGGACATCTTCGGTCCACACCGGAGCAGATGAGGTTCAGCTGTCCTGAAAGGGTGACGTCTTTCCAAACCAGTTGACTTGAAGACACAGGGAAGTGAAGGCTTTGTACAGGTGAGACATTGTGCTTTACAACTAAACATTGTTACTTTCTTCTATGTCTAAATATTTCAAAAGTCACCAAAATTCCTTTGGATTGTTTTTGTTAAGGTTTTGTAGAAGAAGGTCGGATTTGTACTTTTGTTTACGCTGTTTGATGAGTTTGTTGTAGTCTGTATCTGTATCTGTAGCCGGTATAACCGCCTTTCGGCAATGAGCTGTAGTCATGCAATGCTGTGAAATATCTGTTTTTCGTGTTAGATTTGGATGAGCTGTGTCATGTAGGGTGCCAAGCTTGTTCTGCTAGCATTTTGTTTCAAATTATGAGTGAGGCATTTCTATAGTAGAACAAGACCTGGTAGAATAAGACAACTAGCCAAAGGTAAAATAACATACTAGTATTTCCTCCAATTGCATACGAACCCCCGATCAAGGGAAAACCCTTCAAGTTCACACTCACTGTCTTCTGAGCCTTTCGGTGGTTTGCCAGGTCGTTGACAAAGTCACTTGTAGAATTTCTCTCCAGATAAATGTCCATTCTTAAGTTTGCACATGCAGTATTTTTATAT